TGAGTTATGGAATGAGCCCCAAATTTTTCACTGAAACCATGAGCGCAGAGTCCAAAGGGCGCTGGAACCAGCAGCAGCCGGAGACATCGCCGGTATTTCTGCAGTGGCTGTGTGTATAGCCTGCAGGCTCCAGCACTGTTTGGAAACTCCTGTGACAAGGGGAGGGGGGCCTTAGTGATGTTCCCTGGGCTCCCCGGCTGCTGGGTGCTGTACCAGCATGAAACAAAGCAGTCCTAGACCGCCACTCCACCCAGCCTAGTGAGGCAGGCAGCAAGTATTAACAGCCGAAGAGCCTGGCCAGGGGCTGGAGGCTGAAGAGGTGAGACAGCAATCGAAGGCTATCCATTTAAATGCATCTGAGTTAAGAGCCTGGATTTGCCATTGTGCTAAGCACTCTCAGGTTTCCCCTGCAGACAATAACAAGCCCTCCTTTCTTTGAAACCCCTGCAAGCCTGGGAGCGAAAGGACAGCCCTGTATTTCCAACTGAGAAAGTCTCTTAGATTGGAATAAATGAAATCAAATGTCCAAGATTTAGTTTGGCATACCCCGTGCCTCTCTCTTTCTCTGATTTTTTCCTCAAAACAATAATGGCTGTAGCTTTTCTTGTGTCTCTGCCGCTCCTGGCTTTGCGAGCCGCTGGGTTGGTATGTCTCCTCTTAACTCCTGCTGAACTGATTCTATTAAAAACCCCTTACTCCACAGGGGGCTTGACCTTTTTCTGAAATACCAAATGCGTCTGCTTTGGAAATCACAAACTTCTCCTCTAAAGAGCTTGTAAATCTGGTTTCAATACTGAGTGATTACAGGCTGTGCGGAGAGCTTGAAAGTAAGCAGCCACTTCTGGTAGCAGAGCGCTGGGGCTGCGCTGCCGGCGCCGAGCGCGACTCTCATTTTTCACCCCGGTGTGTGTTAAGCACAAAACCCCTGACGCAGCTGATTCAGCCCGATTAGCGGTGGGGGGACTGGCCAGGCTCTGGTCGCAGGACGCTTGTCTTCTCTTATCAGGACCCCGGAATCCAGTTTTTGTTGTACAACCACTTGCTCTGTTGTAAATCTCGGGATCTCATTGCAAATGGATGATGCCCTAGAGGCCAAACACCAAAAAAAGCCTGGGAAAAGAGCAGGGTTTTTTCTTAGGTGTAATGGATGCATCTGCACCTTCTCTTGCTGCTCTTGTGATAATTAAAACAAGGTATGAAGAAGGGAAAATATATCACCAGGCTGCCTGTGTGAGATGGGATGTGCCTTAGCTACCAGTCAGTGGCGTTCCACAGTGAATAAATGAAAGTAAAATTTGGCCTTCTCATGGAAAAAGAGGAGCGATAAGAAGGCAATCTACCAAGAAAGAAACATCAGGCACAATCTGAGTGAATAAAAAAATTAAGTCTCTGAAGGCGGCAACGTTGCCTTTGTTTCTTTTTTCAGGTACTTTCCCACATGGAGATCACTGGAAGCATATTTGTATTGTTCCAGTGTCTGGTCACTTTGCAGAAAAAAAAATCTCTTCCTTGTTTTGGTTCTAGGAGCGACTTGGGGAAGTAGTATTTTGGATCTGTCACTGTGTTTTATTTCTGGGGGAAAACAAGTGGTGGAGAGGTGCTGGTAAATTACGATTATCTCTTGGGAGTGGCCCAGTGTCTCCAACATTATGAATTCTGTCTCCCTCTAAATAAACACCCAACCTCATTTTCTTTGTTTCACCTCTAACCCTCATCTGCAGCCTTTACAATCCCAGGGGGTGAATCCTGAAGTAAAACAAACTGCAAGGGAAGGAAGCCAGGAGGGAGCCGCAGTGCCTGCAGATTAACAGAGCCTTCTGCTCTCCAGCCAACCTTGACAAAAGGATTCAATCCTGAACTGACCTTCAGGGGGAAAAGCAAAACAAAAACCACCTTGACTTGAACTTTCAAGACCGCAGGAGTTTAATGCTTGGTTTGATGTCTCCTAAAGGGAGCCGGGAGTTAGAAATGCCAAACACCTGTCTTGCAAACCCAAATCCTAACAATTTATCGTGAAATCTGAGCCACAAATCACACGGATTTGAAAAATTTAGGATTAGCTCATCACTGTTTCTAAATCATTCAGTGTTGCTAAAAGGGCCAAAAATTTCCCCATTGTGATTGTCTAGGCAAATCTATAGCATTTGGTTAAGCAAATAGTAAGTTCTGTTGAAACATCAATATTTAAATGCAAGTTTTCACTGAATAAATATTTCTGCCTTGGAAGCAGGTCCTTCCTCCCAGCTGAGCCCTGCTCTTTTCCCTGTGGGCAGAAAGGAAGAGAACAAGTTAGCCCTGACTTCATAAAAACCCACACTGGCATGAATATAGGGTGACTCAATTTTTAAATAAGTTTTTTTTTATAAAAACCGAAATGTTAGAGTATTTTCCTTTTTCTAGTTATCACGCTACTTAAATATATCAACGGCTGTGCAGTTGGGAAAATCTATTGTTTGAGTGAAATGTATTGTTTCAGTCCCCTTGTCACCTGGTAGACACTATGATAAACTAAAGTAGGCACTATGATGAACTAGCATCTGTCTGGGAGAGGCTCTGGGGGGCAGGGGACTGTCACCCTGGCAGTGGCAGTGGTGTAGCCAGTGTGGCTGCTGAGTGCCAGGCTAGTCTCTGCTTTTGGGATTTTTTACTCCAAAGGGCTGCGGGTTGCAGATGTAAATCCCCTTCTTGTAGCTCGGGAGGAAAATATTGATGCACTAAATCTCCTGGCACTTGGTAGTGACAATGGGGAGGGAGGAACAGAACAGGCTCAGGGTCCTGCCCAGGCTGGGGATGCTTGTATTGGTGTGCAAATCAGGGCTTGTGTCAAGCAGGTTGCTTTGAAATGCTCAATTTGTTGAGTTCTGGCTGTGAAGCAGCTATTTCATCAGTGGAAGAAGATTTATGAACCAATTTTTTATGGCTATCGACAATGGCTTAGCTCCAGCAGGGTCCCAGGCATTTTTATGAAGTGCAGTGGGTTCCAGAGGTAGAGGTGTTTTATATTGTTCTGGTATTTTAACCCAGTGAGCTGAGGCCTCTATCCTGCAAATGCTTAAGGCTGTGCATAATTCATTCCGGTCCCAGGGGGTTTTTCTGAGCTCCACACTGGGTACCTGCTCTCACAGTGGGCTCATTCTTGACGAGCTGCAGCAGGCTCTGGGGGGGTCTCTCCTGGCCATGGCATTTGCTTGGCTAAAGCATGGAGGGAATTGAGAGTTAATGCCAGTGTTCAGTCACAGTCACAGCACTGGTGGCCATCTAGCAGTGACCTGGCTGCCCTGGCTGTGGCCAGTGATGGGGGAGCAAAAGTCCATGCTGAACACAATCTAGGGGCCAAATTAGTGTGGATGTATTTGTCAGGGCAGCATCTCGCCTGGCTCTGGAGCCTTGTCCTAGGCTGCAGCTGCCCCTTTCTTCAGGTGGTGTCAGGAGGTTTCCATCACCTAAAACCGTTTATGCTTTTGCACACAAGAAATCATGGGAGTGCTAAGCCTGCAACAGACCAGCTCTCTAAGTCTACCCAGTGCCCAAATCTGCAGTCTCAGCCATCATGTCCCTCTGTCCCACACAGTGCGTGATGGTCAGGGTTTTAATTACATGAATCATGCAATGGTTTTTTCACAAAACCTCCTTATTGAATCTCCCCCCTGACCATCTGGGTCCCAGTCTGGCTGGCTGCAATCTCTCTGCAGCTCTTCATCTCACGTCCTTGCCCTGGCTCTCCCTCCCCTGGATGCCTTTCTCTGCTCTGTTCACAGGGCTGGAGGTGCAGGGCGCCCTGCCTGCACTGGAGCAAACTCTCCCTGGCAACAGGTACTGCTCCCAGCCTCCCTAGCTGTTATCAGCCCACAATAACCTTTCCCTTATTTGATTTTTTTTTCCCCTGGGGGACTCTAGGGGACAGCCACAATTATGTTTCTTCCAACCCAATTCCACCCGACTGTTCGGTAGTGGGAGAGCAGAGAGCAGAATGGTTCCCTCATGCTGGCTCCCGGGTGGGTGGCAGAGCCAGGCTGTGCCAGCTTCCACTGACTAGCAGTGTGCTTTCAGGGTGGGACAGGCCCAAACCTGGGGGGTCTTCCCCTTCATAAATAAAAAGTACAAACCACACTCTTGTAATCGATTTTTTTGTGAAGCTTTTATATCAGAAGCTGGAAACACTTTCTTTTTCTGCATCAACAGATGACAGAAATAAATTTTTCTTTTGTTGTTGTTTGTAAAAAATGCACCAAATTTGGGACCTGCTCAAACATTCATTTATCATAATGCAAATGAAACTTGCCATATGTTTTTGTTTTAAAAAACATCTTGTACCAAAGCATAATGTTTCTAATTGTGTTTATAGGCTGGGTTAAAATTGCTTTACAGCAGCTTTTTGCTTTGGGATGGATTGGTTGTGGAGTTTTGTAATCTCTGCCTTCATTACTCGCTCTGTTATCTGTCCTGATTGCTGCTGTGCTTTACTGACTGCAGGATAATTTTGTCTGTAGAAAGGTTGTCACCCTTTACCTCTTTGAACTGAACTTTGTCTCCTTATATCTGCTGGTGGCAATTGGCGCTCCTGCCTTTCTCCTGCAAGGGAGAGGAACCCCCATGGCCCCAGGGACTTGTGCAGCCTTCTGGGTCTCTGACCCATTATTCAGTGCCCCCCTTGCTGCCCCCAGTGTGTGACACAAAACTCTGGTGGTTCTGCTGGCATCTTGCAGCTCCCAGGAGAGCTGCAGGCTCCGGGAGGAATTTTATGGCAAGCACCTTATCATAGGTTATGGCTGAACATACACAAGCACTCCCAGTGACCAGTGTAATCCACTCTTTACTGACATGATTTGACTTTATTTCTTATTTACACAGGGAGGCTTGGGTGGAGTGTTATGTACATGGTATCAGAAAAACAGTCTGCTCCACCTCGGGGCTGCACACGTGCTGGAGCCAGCGCAGCCGCTGCCCCAGGGCTCCAGCAGCCCTTTGTACAGAGCTCTGCACACGTGGGGAGCCTTCCACTCCTCCTAGGAGTGTCTGAGCAAGCAGCTTATAGTGCCCCAGTAATCTTCAGTGCATGGCCAGCACTCAGTGACACTGCCATTTCACAGGGGCAATCGATGAGTCTGCAGGAGTGCTGAGCACAGCAGCGAGCAGGTGAACACGGCTAATCCTTATCAGAGCTGTGCATCCCTCTGGGGCTGCACCCTAGCTACACATTAATATTTGATCATTCGTGAGCAATTTGCAAATTTGTAATGAATGAGTAATGAAATATCCTGGGAACTGTTTGCTCACAAATAATTTCCAGAGTATTTCATGACATATGAGAAATTTGTAAGTATGTAGTTGCCAGTATTGGGATTTGTCTGCTCCTGAGCAAAGTGCTGCTGCAGGACAGATGGACTGGTATCTACTTGATCATATCTGGGGATGCTGTCAGTGTTTTTTTTGTCACAGTGGATAAAAACATCCAACAGCAACATTACAGGGATCTGCTACATATATAATTGAGTGAAAATGAATCAGAAATGCAATATACAGGGGTAATTTATAGTCTTCACTTGAGTATCTCATTTCACAGGTTTCTTCCACAGCCAGACATTTTCCTCAGTTCCCCACCTGCACTCATAGGTACTAAATCCATTTTTCCTTGCTAGTGTTTTGCCAACAGCTTTCTAAAAGTCTGTCATAGTTGAACAGCAGTGAAATATGGGGTTTCAGAACAGGACAGTGGAGTACAGAAAGAAAAAGTCACTGGGAATTTTTGCCTGGACCAAGGTGGAAGAATTTGGAAAAAAGGGAAGATCAGAGCATGCAAAAACCTATTTTCTCCCCTGAAAATACCCATGTATGCTATTGAAAATTAACAGAAACACCAGCAGATGAACTTTTTCCTGGTACTGTAATACAACATGGATGAGTTGGCTTTTAGCCTTCAGTGCTCCCATGGCATATGGAGGTTTTTGCTGCAGCCTGTGGATGACTGCTCTGGGCAGACATCTGCTGGGATGGCTGCAGAAGATGGATGCATGAGGAAGCAGCCAGCATGAGGAAGCACATGGGGTTGAAGCCAATTGCATACAGCCCTTTGCTGATGCTGTATCACACAGCATGTGGACCAGCTGAGTTTGGGCCTCGTGGTGCTGTTTCATGGGCACTGCACCAGGCATCATCATCATCATCCCCAAGGCTCCCAACTCCCAGAGGGGGCAGATCCTCCACCAGAGCCAGCAGTGGTGGGAGCTGCTGGTGCACAGCACTGGCGGGTGTCTGGCAGCAAGAGATCTGCTCCTTCAACAGGCCAGCTTGCAGAGAGAGCACAGAGATAACCCCACACCTTGAATTTAACACCTAACTGCGGCTGCAAAGGCTGGCAGTCTGTGCTTGGGGCCAGCCTGGGTCAGATTGCCTTGCAGGGGCACGTCACTGTCACTGCCATTGCTGTCCCTGAACAGTCCTCTGGGTATTGTGTAAGTGAAAGCTGGACCAAAGGTCTCCTGTCTCTCAGGAAAGCGTCTGATTTGGTGAGCTTTGGGTTAAACATATTCTAAAATACAGAAAAATGCGTGTTTATAAAATTTATAAATAAAATCATCTTAGTCTTCTGGCTGAGGATGAGGATTATGTAATTAATTTTTATATCAGTGGTAAATAAATTATTTTATAATTGTTAAATATTTTTGTATAATGAGCAACATATCCAACAGAACCTGAGTGGAGTGCCCTGTCCAGCTGACCACACACTCATTCTTTGCTCTTCTCCCTGCTTCCTCCAGCCAATCTATATGTTCTCCAGCTAGGAAGAAGAAGCTCTCAAGAACTTTTCAGGTCCATTCCAGACATAATCCACAGATTCCCACCAAATACGGGGTGTGGGAATGGGATTCCAAATATAGGATCACTATGTGCAGTGACACCTGTATAGGCACGAGCATGTGTGAGAAGCCCTGGGTCTGTAGGTTGCACTTCCCAGGCAGCAGCCACAGTTCTCCAGATCAGCCTTTGAGATGATCCATGGAGATCATCTCAGGAGAGATCATCAAACAGGACACCTGTTTCCATGGGCACCATATTTCTGGGCCATGTCCTTAGAGAAGGCATCCTTACAAATGAACTTTCCAGGGCTGATGTGGACTTCTCCAGGGTCCTGGTAAGCAATCTCCTTTGTGTTGTGGCAAAAATTTCTGTCCAGAGCAGACCAGCCCACTTCTGCAGACAGGTTAGAGAAAATTTTTCTCCAGAGTCTGCACAAAATCAGAAATTAATCTTTGAACTTTCCTTCTTTTCCCACCAGTCAAGAAATGTTCACACCATGTCTTAAAAATAAGAAAAAGTGCTTAAAATGCTCTAAAATTATGAGTGTGTGGGAAAACCCCTGCTCGGCCAGAGGAGGAAACAGTAGAGACATAGCAACAATTACTGCTGAGTCTGTTTATGTTTGTTCTCCCCAAAACAAGAATGAAGAAAGGGATTAAATACAATTAGTCACCAGCCACTGGTGAGGGAGAGAAGTCTGCTGAGTCACAGCCACGTTCAGCTTTGTCCCCAGAAAGGTCAGAGCCAGCTCAGGGTGGAGGATGGCTCCTGCACCCCCTCTCCTTGGACAGTGACCCAGGATTGGGGTGCTGCAGGGCAGGTGTTGCTCCTACTGCCCTGCCTGTGCCAGGGGTGATCACCCCTAGAAAGGGACAGGATTGCTTCTCTGTGGGATTTCTCTGCTCCCTCTGTGTGTAGCCACACTGGTGTTTCTGTTCCAGCTTCAGCAGAGTGCAGGATCCAGCCATGTCCTCCTCCCTGCTGTCCAAAAAAGTGCAGCTGCAGATGCACAGGTCTAGAGAGGCAATCAGACACTCTGGAGGAAGACACCTGAAGGAATCTTTCTAGTCTGCTGTTCATAAAGTGGATTATTAAGAATCTGTTCCAGTTGGTGACTGGGATGACTCCCAAGCAAATACATCTTACCTGAGACTTCCCTGCCTAGTGAGTGTGCAGTGTTATCACACAAGCATCTCTTAAAACCTCTCTCTGATTTCTCTGCTTTGCCCCCTCAAGGCAAACAGATGGAAGTTTAATCCTCTCCCCTTAGTGTCTCTGGATTGCAAAGCCTTTGTCAAAAGGGAGCCTGAGATCTTAAAACCTAATGCTTTTTCCTAGATATTGAGATAATTGCTATGGGCTAGACACTAGGAGAATAAAGAAGCCAGGCTAGGCAAACGGGAAATGGCAGGAAGTGAGAACTAGATAATGGAAAAAGTAGTTCAAAATCTTTTTTTTCATGTCTCCATATACTGATTTGTTGCTAGAAAAAATGGAAATGAGCTTAATGGATTCTTCTCTGCTCTGAAGGTTTGAGAATAGGTGCATTGAATTTATGCCAAATTGGGGAAGAGTCTGGGCATTTCTTAGCCAACAAGATTAGAGAAAAGCAAACCAAAAGAAATTAAAAGTTTTTCCCATTCCTGATTTCTAATAGGTTAGGAAGCATAGCAGGTAGATGTAACAGAAACTGGGGTGACTCTCTTCCAGCTTGCTTCTTACTGGAAAGCAGCCCAGGTGTAAGGCACATACAGCCAGGTACAGAGGGGAAGCAAAGCTTAGTGGCTTTGGGATGGATTGTCCTTGATTAGGTGATGCCATGACTGGCTTGGCGGGACTCCAATGATGGCCCTTTCTGCAGGGGGATGTAGAGGGAGCTGACACCCTTCCAGCCACAATTCCAGGATATTGGGGTCCTGCAATGGCTCTCATGCCTGGGATGGCTTTTCTCCTCAGAGACTCTTTGGAAAGCAGATGTTCTTCACAGTGTGCCTCCCAGTGTGTGCTCACACTCATGTGAGTATATGGAAGTCAGAAAAAAAAAATAAAAGCTGTGCAGAAGATTTTACTTTCCAGGCCAATTTACTGCACAAATTTTATTATTGTTAATCTAGTATTTGTGTAGCTCTTGCTGTCTGAATAAAACAAATGACCATAGATGGCTGTCAACTGCTGCTTTCTCCTGAACAGGAAGAATAGCAGCCCTGGAGATGCTTGGGCAGATATCTATTGCTGCAAACCAGTTTTGTGGCATTGACCAGCAAGACAGCACCCATTTCTGCATCTCAGGCTCTATGAGAGAGCACGTCCTTAAATTCATGGCTTTATTTAATCCTCACTGTGTGCAGGCAATAACAGGAAGACTCTTGACATTTTCAGTTGTCAGATGGGGATCACATTCTTGAAGAAATTGTCCTGTCTGAAGCAACTTCTTGAGAGTGGTTCCTGTGCAGAGAGAGTGAGGGGAAGTTCCTTTCACCTCTGGGTCCTCAGCAGTATTTGTAGGCCATGTGCTCTGTGGTTTGGTGGTAGAAATTGTTCCAAGAAGAACCTCAGGGTCTGGCTGTCCATCCCCATTAAGAAGCGATGAGCAAAGTGGAAGCAGCTAATTCAAGTGTTTGGTGACAGTGTTATGAGCAAGGGTACTTTTGTTGCATGGAAAATATATGGTTGTCCCTTTTAAATTGGAGGTACTGTGTAAAATATTGTGGTGTGTCACAGGAACAGCAGCTCCCAGGTAGATCAGACCAGCGTAAAGGCAGAGATCAAACATAACTTTTCCTGTATTGACATAATGCACATTGCAGTTTCAGTCCACCAAAGCACAAAAAAATAAAAAAGATTGGAAGGCAAACTTCACAAATGATCAATGATGTTAATTACAGTTCTCAATGAGGGAGATAATAGCAATGCAAGGGAAAGTAAATACTTATTAACTCTGAGGAGCATCCTGTTATCTGTATGAAAAATAAACACATTTGTCTAAGCACCACCTTAATGGCTCTGGCTATGAAGAGGCAGTGTGCTTACTTCACCCTGATCTTGGCATCATTGCCATGTCTGATGGAAAACAGAAGAAGCTTCACTGGTGCTAATAGGTGTAAAACTGGTCTGAATGGCCAACTGGACCTTAAAATTCACCTCAGCTGGTGCCGGAGCCCCAGCCTGTCACCTAACAGCTAGGGCAGCTGTTAAGTAGCACTATGCAATGTGCTATTGTAATATAGTACATTATACAGCCCCTTCTCCCTCCTGGCCTTCTGAAATCCTTTTGAAGGTCTCATTAGCCCTGTTGCAAAGACAATGGGCACTTAGATTACAGGTAGGTGGGATGTGCTGAAGGCCTCTGGAACAACGATGGAAAACAATTTTAATCTTTTCTTTAAGACCCAGATGACAGTTTTGCTGAAAGCTGTTGTGGTTTCATGTTTGGAGGTGCTAAAAATCCCAGTGGTTACAGGGTGGGTGGCAAGAGCTCAGCATTTCTGGATGTCAGGGCAGGCGTGTCCTCACTGGCCACCTCTCTTCTACCACCCCCAAATGATTCCCCAGTTTATTGCCATTTAAGCTTCATCCCTGTCTCAGAGGTTCTCCATTAGTGGTATAATGAACTGATACAATCCTAAGTCAAAGGCTTCAGAGCTAGTGTGCAGTAAACATAAACATATGTTTAGTGTTGGGTTATAAACTACTGTAGCCAAAGTGGGCAAGTGTTACAAACTTCAAACATGAAACAGATGCAAGTTAATTTGAGGCATGAAAGTGATGACAATAGAAGTGAGCTGTAGCAAGGAAATGAAATGTTAGTTTAGGCAGAAGTTGCTGCAGCTCTGCCGTGCACTGGAAATGCCTGCAGTTTCTGCTGAAGATGGGAAGGCACAGACATACTTTATTGGGACAGCCAAGCATGTGGTCCATATGTCAGAAATGTAAGTCACTGCTGAGTGAATGTGTGAAGGAAATACAGTCTGACAGGGTTTTGAAAGCTGGGAATTGGCTTGCCGTGAGGTCACAGAATCACAGAATAAGCTGAGTTATAAGGAATCCACAACAATCATCGAGTCCAGTTCCTGGCCCTGCACAGGACAGCCCTAAGAGTCACACCTTGTGCCTGAGAGCATTGTCCAAAAGCTCCTTAAACTCTGTCAGGTTTGGTGCTGTGACCACTTCCCTGGAGAGCCTGTTCCAGTGCCCAGCCACCCTCTGGGTGACAACCTTTTCCTGATATCCAACCTAAACCTTCCCTGACACAACTTCAGGCCATTCCCATGGTCCTGTCACTGGTCACCACGGAGATCAGTGCCTGCCCCTCCTCTTCCCCTCACAAAGATGTTGTAGCTGCAGTGAGGTCTCTGCTCAGTCTCCTCCAAACTGAGCAAACCAAGTGAACTCAGGCACCCCTCAGGCACTCCCTCAAGGCCCTGCACCATCCTTGCTGCCCTCCTTTGGACACTCTCTAATCGCTCAATGTGTCTGAGGCTGGGCTGCAACAGAACTGTGGAATGCTTTGGGAAGGGACTTTAAGGATCATCTAGTTCCAGCCCCCCTGCCATGTGTGCCAGGGCTTACAGTGCCAGGGCTTACTGTGCCTGCTGTGCCATGAGAAACAGAGGTCCCACAGTGTGGGCATCCCCTGGGAGAAGGGTATGGGCTCCTCGGGCACTGCTGTGGCACAGCAGCCATCCAGCACTCAAGGGCTCAGTTCTGCCCTTCCCCCCAAACTTCCTCGCCCTTGTTCCCTGCCATGAGAGACTTCCAGGCCCTGGCCAGGGGCTGGTAGGTGCCCAGCTGATGACATGAGTGTCACTAAGGAGGCAGAGGTGCTTCAACAAGGCCAGGAAACCCTTGTGACCACAGGGCTGCCTGCAGTTCCAAGTCTGTCCCTGCCTTGTTCTTGGCTTTCTGCTTCCCTGTCACTGTAGACAAATGATTTAGTGACTCTTCTTGCCAATAAATCCTTGCCCTAGTCGCTTGTACTCTGCTCCTTTGCCTATCATCGGAGTAGTCCTAAAAGCAGTGGTTTGAAGAAGGTTTTGTTTTATTAGGTCCTTGTGAGCTGATGTCCTCCTGGGCCATGCATGTTTCTGTGATTCGCATGGAGATTGTGGAACAAGATGGGTATCTGGTGCTGGAAAGAGAAGAAAAACTCCAAATAAATGCCTTAATAACAGGAGCTCTCAGGTAACCAGGGAAGCTTTTAGTATATTTGTTCCCTCAGTCCCAGATGGGCAAGTGTGTGTGTGCCTCTCAGTCCTGTGCAAGCCTGTGCTTCAGCAGACAGACTGTCTTTGTCCTCCTGCAGTGCTGCCCTGATGTTCTGCTTTCCAACATGTTCTACACCTCTGCCTCAGACAGACTCGGGAGCCAAAAGGGCTACCCACAAAGCAGATGGTTTAAAATAGCTCTCCTGACAAAAAGAGCATTGCTGTTCAGCCTCTCCTCTCGTGGAGCTGCCGTGCCCATATCAACACCCACCAGCAGCCTTCTGGCTCCCAGGGCCAGCAGCCTGCTCAGAGCCCTGCTGCTGGGCACTGCAGCCCCTGCCCTGCCCGTTCAGCCCAGCAGCATCACCGTGCCCCTCCAGGGCTCTGTGCTGCCAGCACACAGCACAGAGCAGAGGCTCACCCTGCCCTCTGCCAGCCCTGCCCAGCCCAGCACCCCCACGCAATTCAGGGCCTTGGTGAGGTACTCGTGGGATTAGCTGCAGTAAAAGTCCTCCTCTAAATGAGAATTTCAGGTTGGGACCTGAAACTGTAGCAGTCTGGAAAGCACCCAGTGGCTGTGCTGTCAGGGAGTGTTCGCAGGCAGTAAAATAAAACCGTTGCCTAATTATAGTTTCACCAAGGGGCACTGTAATGCTGGGGTATTAACTCCCTGCACATAAACAGCGATGGGCAGGGGCTTGCCAGCACTGCTTCTACCTCCGGGAGACAAGCAGGTAACGGTATCACGGTGCCGCCATCCAGACGGGAGACAGCTGCTCCCTGGAATTGCAGGAACATTGACTCATTCAGGACCAAATTACACGGGACGGGGGCAGGAATTACACCTAAGTGTTACCCAGCCCTCCCTTCACCAGGGCGGGGGGGAAAAATCCGGGATTGGGAACGTACAGACCACAGCAGAGTAAGGCAGGAACAAAAAAGGGACTTCCCACCATTTGTGGAAGTTGAAATCGAAACAAACAGAAAAAATCATCAGCGCAGGGAAGGTTGTAATTACTCTATAATCAGCTACTCAGGTAACGAAATCACTGGCACGGTGCTAGTGGGAGGGTTTCAGCTGTCAGAGGAGTGCAGATTAAAGTAGGAAAGCTCAGATGTTGATATTTTTATTTGGGGAATGCTTTTTCCCTTTAATTATTTTAGTCAAGATGATTCAATAAGTAAAAAAAAAAAAAGGCATAAACCCCCCCCCGTCAGATTGCTGGAAGTTACTGTATTAGGAGGAAGGCTGGGGGAGATGGGCTGATGGGAATTTCTCTCCCCACTGAGCTGTTCCTCAGGGCTGGGTACATTGGTCCCAGGTCTGCCCTGCCAGGGCATAAACCCCCCCATCAGATTGCTGGAAGTTACTGTATTAGGAGGAAGGCTGGGGGAGATGGGCTGATGGGAATTTCTCTCCACACTGAGCTGTTCCTCAGGGCTGGGTACATTGGTCCCAGGTCTGCCCTGCCAGGGGACAGGCAGGACCAGGCTGCATTGATGGGGGGAACTCTGCCTGGGCAGGGGCTGCCTGGGTGACATCCTTCTCCAGATGCTCTGGGAGGACGTGCCCTGCAGCAGTGGCTGCAAAGCACACGAGTGACAGGGAGAGGATGCAGGGCCTTGTCTCAAAACTCTGGCTTACACGGATTTTCTAATGCCATGAGCAAGTGCTATATGTCAGTTAAATCCTTCAAATCTTAGGGAAAAATTAGTAGTTGGGTTAGAGCTTCCAGGTGGTGTGTGCCAGGTAAAAGAGTGCAGCAATGTCACTGTCATGCAGATGACCATGAAATGCAACTCCTTACACAAAGAAGGGTAACTCACATGGGCAAGGGAAAGAACTGGAAATGCTCTGCCACAAGGGTGCAAGGTCATATTTCATTTCTGTAGTGTTTTCTCTCCTCAGGAGGCAGCCAGCAACTAAAGCAAAGCTCTAGTCTCTGAAGAATTCCCTAATTAAAGTTTGCCCAGCTCCTTTGCTGCTCCAAGATGTCTCTTAGGAACTGCTCAATTCATACAGAAGGTATTTTGCTTTGTGTATATGAATCTTTTTTATTATTATTTTTAATTCAAAATCAAAATGTCATCCCTTCAGGTCAGGATAGATGTTGTTTGACATAGAAAGGGTTTTTGGCACGTTGAATTAAACCTTCCTGACTTTGGCAAAGAATGACTGCAGGGCCAAGATAATTAACAGGGGCTGATTTGGTGACTTATCTCCCTAGTTCAGTCCCAGCAGCACTGCCTGCTACAGAGCTTTGATAACTGCTGCTGGACACCCCACAAAGCACGAGTTTAATTGTCTTTCAGGAAGTTTTTCTATCAACCACTTCTCTGCAGTTTGATAAGTTCTGTTGCTTTGGAAAAGCCTCCAGACTTCCTGACAGGTCTGAATTTGGTCTGTGAGAAGCATGGGTGGCCCTGAGGGCCCTCATCCTTCAGCTGCCCTGCAAGTGCTGCTAATGCCCCAGTTGCTTGCTCACCCATCCTTGGCTCCCTATGGAGTCCATCAGTGGGAAACCCAAACAAGTTTATACAAGAGTGCCCAAATTCAGAGAGGGCAGCTGTGGAGGATGCTGTGGGACTGAGCTTGAGAAAGTGTATAGGGAAAGACAATAAGATTACCTCCCTGTTACACAGTAAAATTACCTGGCCTAAATATTAGTGAATTTGCCCTAGCAGTGACTAAATTATATGTTTTGAAAGATCCTTTCTTTTTTTCACACAGAGAAATATGAAAAGAGCAATTTAAAATTGCTTCTGTTTCTTTGTATGGTAATCTGAAAACATCAATGCTCAGACTCACCATGACTGGATTTAAAGGCAGTAAGAAGCCATTTTATCTCCAGCTCTTTCTTAATGGGGGTCTGTGGTGATGAAACCCTCTGCTGTGCAGCCTCCCTTTCACTGGGTATCTCTGGAGTCCCCATTGTCTCCAGGTGAAGGCTGCCAAGAGTGCTGAGAGGCCTTCCCAGCCCAGTCAAGTTTATAGATGCAAAGACCCAACAAGGGGATTAGGTGACACACAGTTTTAATTTCAGTTACTTGTTCAAAGCAAAAAAGGCTTTATAAGGTCATTGGTATGTATCACTGCAGAAGGACTACCTGCACTAGCTGCCTTTTATGACCTGCATCTCCTCAGCAAGTTGGCCAGGTGAATATTTCTGAGTAGGGTCTGCCTCCAGGAGCTCTGCTTCTGCAGAGAAAGCACAACGTGGGTTTGGGGGGCATCACCTCTTGCTAGCCAGGGAGGTTCCAGTGCTCACCTGAGCAGAGCTGCCTCTGGGACTGCAGCACTCAGATCATCACAGGTTTGTGTCCTCACCCAACTCTTTTCCCCTCTGAGGGACAAGAAGGGTATTAGTTTTAGCATTATCATGGCTTTAGCCCCCTGGGTGCTTGCTCTTTAGGCACCACACTTCTCCATAGTTACTCTGAGGTTGTCAGCTAATGGGTCACAGCCACTTCTGAGCCACAATGGATTTATGCAGGTGAAGCAGAGAAGCTCCACAGCTCAGTGCCTTTTCTACTCAGACCTGCACAAAGTTCAGCTGAACATGAACACCAAGAGCTGAATTTGGATCTGCTGGCCAAGGCTTTGATGTAATGTTTGCTCAGCAAAAAAACTCCTCTGATATAAACTGAGTGAAAGTATCCTGTCTGGCTGAGTAGAACTGGATATATTCTCTGCACAAGCTGTGTTAAGCTGTGACTTAGACTCTCCCAGCTTTTAATGTATTTCCTAAGCTTTCCTGCTGAATGTTTGCACCATTTCAGGAGAAATAGGGATTATTTAACTGAAAGAGCTTTGATAGATTTGAAGGCTCTGAAGATCAGCTGACTTGCAAAGGGAAAAGAGAGTATTTAAAACCAAAGCAAGGGTTATTCTGAGGGTTCATTCTTTACTTGAAGACAGCTTAGGAATGATTTAACAGGGTTAACTTCAGAGAGAAATATCCTGAAGTCCTCTAGGAGACATATTCTTGCAAGATTGCCAGCTAGTTTATAACTGAGATTCCTCATTCTCCGTGGGGGTAATTACTGCAGCTGGGTTGGAAAGCTTCAGTATTAAAACAGCAGTCAATGAGCTACTGAACACAGGCTCAAATCCACAAGGAGATTCTCAAAGCCTGAGCTGATTAGAGCAGAATAAATCTTGGACTGGATTGCCTGTCCCTGCCTTAATGTCTTGCACTAAGGGGGTTATGGTATGAAATGGGGTAGTTTGCAATGAGTGTGTCATGCATGTTATCTGAGAAATGAGCTTTCCTTTTTCTGGGAGCTTGCCTGAAAGAGCCACTTAGAGTGGAAGCCTGAGGTAAGGAGTTCAAGGCCAAGACATGTGATATCCAATAGCAACATATTTAAAAACCCCCAAAAATCTCCAAACCCCCCAATTTTTCTTTCTCCATCAGCCATGAATGTCCTGAGTTGGAAAGGACCCACACAACCAGCAATTCCAGCTCCTGGCCTGGCACAGGACAACCCCAAGAATCATCACCCCATGTTCCTGAGAGCATTGTCCAAAGTCTTCTTGAATGCTGTCAGGCTTGGTGTTGTGACCACTTCCCTGGGGAGCCTGTTCCAGCATTTGACCACCTTGTGGCTGAAGAACCAGGCTGAGGAGCCAAGTGACCTGTTTTGATCAATGCTTTCTGGGCAGTTGCTTGTCTTCAGTAAATTCCAGAATAAAGTCCACATACTTTAAGGCCTGTCAGTGCTTCTGCAGTCTGAATGGGTGCATGAGAACCTCTCACTCCTCTGCAGGGTTGTGCCCAGCCCTGTCTTTCCTGCTCTGTGGGATGAGGGTCTGGAGGGTGCTCCCAGGTTCCTGGGCTGCTGGGTCTGCCATGATGTGTCTCCTGATGGGTTTCACAAGGAGCTGCTGCATCGCTCTGCTCCTGCTCTCACATCCTCTTGTTGTGACTTTCCCATCCCATCACCCCATCACCTCTCTTGTTGACAGCAGGACCAGAAGTCCCTGATCCAGGCAAAGAAGAATTTTCTCCTTCCTTTGGCTTCGGAGGAGATGCGGAGTGGGCGAAAAGGAAAGGGAGGGAGCAGCTGTGAGTTACTGTATTGCATGTTGGGATGTGAGCTCAGAACACACCAAACACAGAAATGTAAGTCACAACACAATTTTTTCCAACCCTGATGCAGTGCTGGGTGCTGCTATGTGTGCACTTCAAGAGCACTTGTTTAGGGAACTCTGAAAGAACACACGCCTCAGCCTCTACTTCCCATTTCAGTCTGCTTGTGTTCATTGGTTCACCTGAGCATGTTTGGTTTATCTGCACAGAAACCACAAAGAGGATTTTTTCACAAAAAATGGCTGATGTATTTTACCAATCATATTCTGAAAGAAACAGTTAAATAAATAATTTTCACTTTTTTTGTTTAAACTTGGAGACAACTGGAAAATGATCATTAGAGGGAAAGATTAAATACCATCAAACTAGAGACACATGTAGAGTTTGTCTGGATGTGGACATGGTCTTTTTGAAGTTTATTTGGAGATTTTTTTCTTGGTAACATTGGTGACTTCTGCCATTTCCAGCTCTCTCTGGCAGTTTTCAAAGTGCCCTGTGACTACAGGACATGTGCTCTGCCAAGGAGCCCTTTTCTTAGGGGCTATTTGAATTTCAAAAACATTGTTCCTTAAACAACAAGAAACAGAAGTCAAATGTGAAGCAATAAATGTTTCTGACAGAAGTAGCACAGTGACCAGTAGGGAGTTTGGAGGGCGCTTGTCTGTGCTCCTCCCATGCAGGCTTGGTGAAGCAGGAAGGATTTCCAGCCTGATGTGCTCTTAGAGCCTGATTCAGGATCCTCACTTGCATTTCCCATCCCTGGGCCAAAGAAAAGTCACTTTCTGGGTCTGAGGTTGTTGGCTGCATGTTCAGCAAAGCCCTCTGCAGACCCTGGCCACCTGGAGCCAGAGCAGCAGCAGGTACTAACAGCAGGGCTCTGGCAGTGTTCAGAGGCTTCCTTGAGCTTTGGCTGGTGAACAGCTCATTCCCCTGCTCTTACTGGGGGATCAGGAAGCAAGTCATAACAAATACCTGTGTTTGAACAACAACTTGTTTTCAAAAGCTGGAGCAATTGTGATGATTTGAAATTGTTGACTAGTGGATCCCAGGGCAATCACTGTGGAAAGGAAAGGGATTTTTCCCCTTTTAGGCTTCTGGAAACGCTGGCAGTGCAGTGTGTGTCAGGATAGCTGCCATTTTTATTCTCCTGTTGTAAGGTTTGGTGAGGTCTTGCAGGGTTAAGTCAGGTTTAGGACCTTAGAGCTAGTGAGGTTTTGGTCCTTCCCTTGAACTGCAGTTGGAGCTGTCAGGGAACATTGGACAGAAGAGCCTTTTTATTCCTTTTATCAGAGACTTTTGGATGCCAAAACCATGCAGCATAAATGCTGCTGATGGGATGGCTCTGATGGCTTCCTGGTGGCAGGAGGCTGCAGCCCTGGTCCTTCTTGCCAGGACTGCTGGAGGTGCCTTTCCATGGCTCTGCTATTGAGGCTGTTAGCTTATCATGATCCTGGAGAAATATCCCTAACACCGCAGTCCTCATTGCACTGGGCCACCTTCTATGAACATCTTTTTTACAGGCATGTGTAGAAGTCTGGTTTCTGTTTTGGTCTTTTTATTTTATTTTTTTTTTGGTTGGTTTGGTTTTTTCCCTTAACAAAAAAATTCCCAAGGTCTCAGCTATGCTCTGATGCTCCATGAGAACATTTTTGAACTCTTAGAATTGTTTACTGAACAGGAAAACCATTTCTTACCCAGTTCCAACTCTGCCTGGAGCTCTGTGGAGGCATTGCCTATGCCTCCTGGAACAACTTCACCTACTGGAAACAGTGCCTGTGGAATCCTCCTTTTTTCCTTTTCTTTTTTTTTTTTTTATCTTCAGTCCTGTCATCCAGCTTTGTGAACTGCAGGCATGATGTTTCCTACCATTTTAAAAGAGGCTGTTCATTGAAAGATATAAAAGCATAAACAAAAAGTTCATGTTTGTTGGCACAGTTTTTAAATGCAGACATCTGGGTTAGAGATGTGAGAAAATTGTAAAGAATTTGAAAGGTTCAAAGGCTCATGTTATTAAAGTTTTAATAATCTCCTTTTCTGCCTAGCCCCAGCCCCCTGCTAGTCTTTGAATCTTGAAGGAAAATGCCGTCTGAACAAGATTACAGTTAATTAGGGTAGGATCTTCTCTTTGAAAGCCTGTAGGAAGCTGTCCTGCCTTTTTATTTTTCAGACTAGAGTGAGCTGTGTGTAGGAGGAGATACATGGCAAAAAAGCACTTGAGTGCAATGTTTTAATTTAAAGACTCCAGGGGCTCTGTCAAGTTTCTATAACACAGGGGATGGTATTTTCACAATCACTTTGCTTTGTAATCCCCAGAGAAATAATTCACCTTGAGGTGAAATTCACACCTTGTAGAGGGGCCCAGGGAGGGCTGGCAATAAACATCAGTGCCTATAGACACACACCTATGGACACAGGAGCCTATAGACACACACCTATGGACACATGCACCTATAGACACAGAGCCCCCACAGACACACGTGCACAAAGCCCCGTGTGCAGCAGCTTTGGGAAGTCTGGGGTGAAAGGATAAGGCTGGGTGAGTCCCAGCTCCTGCTGCCCTCCTGGTGCAGGGTGATGAGGAACCACAGGGAGTGGATGAAGCCTTTGCTTTGTTGGCCATGCATGGCTTGCCCGAGGGCTGGCTCTCTTGCTGTGAAGGGCTGGAATCTGTGGACTCCCCATCCCTGGATGAGGCTATGAGCAGCTTTGTGTAGTGGAAGACTCTTGGCTCATGGCAGGGGGTTTGGAACTAGACGATCTTTAAGGTCCCTTCCAATCCACACCATCCTAGGATTCTGTGACTGCAGCTCCGGGCATGCAGTGGGCAAAGGGATTTGGTGGCTCTGAGTGCTGGCCCTGCAGCACCATGGTGCTGTGTGTGCTTCTTGTGGCATGAACCAACCTGTTACCTCCTCATGCTCCTGATGTTTTACCTGTGTGCTGGCTGGTGTGTCCCCAGCAGTGCCAGTGGGAAGCCCACAGCACCTGCTCGTGGCTGATGCACTTCCACAGTGACTGCAGGCAGCTTGCAAAGGCGGCAGATCTGCACCCACCTCCCCACTTTGCCCACATCATCCATCTCACCCATCTCACCCATCCCCTGCACTGCCAGCTCTTGTGGCCCCTTCTCCAAAGAGCTTAACCCTCTGCTGCTGCATGGACGTGCAGTGCTGCTGCCACCGTGGGTGACATGCAGGGGCATGGCTGCTCGGTCGGAGAAGTCACAGAGTCCCAGAAGCACAAAAATGCCCTGCTGGACCCTGCATGGTGTCACTCATCCTGCAGTAACTACAGCGAGAGTGTGCAGGGAGCACGGTGCTGCTGCTGTGTCTGCGGGCACTCCTTGGCCAGCGTTCCCAGCTGACCCACACTGGGTGCTCTCGTGGTTCTTCACAGCCTCTGCCATGGGCAAGCAGAGGGAGGGAGGGTTAGGGCTGAAGATTTGTCTTAAAAAAGGAAATGTATCTTTTTTTTTTCCTCTGAGTTTGCTATAAAAAATATAGCCAGTTATATTTCTGGTCTATTTTTTTTTTAGTGCTCGCAAGATGTCCTGAGGGAGCTATTTTTTTTTGAAAAATAGGGCGTTAAGTACCGTAATTTCCCTAACATAACAATTCCTTTTTTTTTTCACTTTCTTTTTCTTTACACTCAGTGGCTTATAATAGCAGTGCTTTTCCTCATCTCCTCCTGTCTCTCTAGTCTGCTAACAACCCAATTAGTGAGTGCCCAGAGCATGAAGCATTCCTGGCCTTGCTGCTGTTCCAGCCAGTCATTAACTAGGTGGAGAAGGTTTAACAAACACTGGAAAAAAAAGTAAATGTGTTTTTTAGAAGTTGAGTTTTACAGCATTAAAATAGAAAAGGTAGTAAAAGAAGGGATGAGGGGGTGGGGGGGAGTAAACACGTTGCCAAAATACTAAGTCAATTAGCTTAGGTGAAGGGCCAGGATTTTCTGGTGTAGCCTAGAGTCTGGAATTGCTCTCACCAGTAAAACACTTCCAGAAGGTCCAAAGGGCAGCTATGCTGCTTTTTATTTCTTTTACTTTAATTTTTTTTCCCATAGATTTTGGTATTTAGGCCTAAAACTCCAATGTTAACAAAGTTATTCTTCTGTCTTTCTGGACATCACTGTATCTTGGACACTTTATACTCCACTACTGGGAATTTTCTCCATGTGTGTTTGCTCGAAAATTATTTACTGAACTTTAAAGTTCTTTGGCCTTAAGAGCATGAAATCAAAGGCTCAAGAGTCTCACAACCAGTGTTCCTGGTAAATCTTCTCAGCTTTATTTGGGTGCCCAGACAGAGCTGGTTGATGTGAGACCACCAGCAGCACTTGAATTCAGCAGCGCAGGCTCACCGTGCAGCAGGAAACAGTGCCGGAGAGCGGCAATGAAGGGACAGCAGAGAGCAGTCCCTGGCTCTGAGCATCACTGAAGATGCTGCTCTGGGTGCACAGGAGTGCTCCGCGCTGCTGAGCACACCGTGTGACCGGAGCACCCACTGGACACGGCCAAGGGAGTTGCTTTTGGGAACACACAGAATGCTGGAAACACCAACCAGGCAGGTCAGGACCTCATTGCACTGAGCCGTAACAAACCCAG